CGAGGGGGGCGAAGGTAACAGTAAAGATCGTTGTGACTAAGTGTGCTACACGCGAGTAAAAATCATGCATTTTGTCAGTAGCAAAATATGACTAATCTTGGAAGGAAAAGGGTTCGATCGCGACTTGCTCCGACAGAAAGATACTGTCGGCAAGGGAGCAAAGGAAGGGTACCTACGTTGACACGTTAAGTGCGACTCAAGCTATAGCTAACTATTAAATTGCAAGATCTTATTACCGTGGTAAAGGAGATCCAGTTTAGGGGACGCGGCTATGTAAGTTCATGTCCCTTTTGACGAGGGCTATGTTCTGTAATTAAAACTTTTGCATGAAATCGAGGGGCTAAACTTGGTGCAGAGAGCATAGAAGGAAATGCTCAGTAGCGGCCTACTAGTTTCTATGCCGAGGAGTTTTTCAACGCGCGTAGGATAAAGAAAAGTGCGGATTACTCGGTTATTTTAACGTTTGGACGTGACATTTATTTAATTTTCCGGTTAGTTGGATCTGACACGTTCTTTTTTTTCTAGCATTCCCCGGTCAAAGTCGGTCCCTGCCACGACTGGAAGGTTTATAAGCTCCCATCGAACTCTACCGTATTATGAAAATACGGTAGTTTCTATCGCGAATAAGGTCATTTCCTCGTGGACAATATGTTTCGAATCATCTTGGGTCAAAATCGGAGTTCCCCCTTAGCAAGTCAACTTATGCAGCTGATAACTACGATAGACCAGGCGGATTTGTTTGTGCACACCTTTCTGTTAGGAAGCAGTGATCTAAATGACTAAAATGTAGGTAGAAGGCAAGCACCAACTTCAAAATCGGTTCCTTATCCTGCGAAAATCCGGCAGAACTATGTGGTCAAAATAGCTTTGCTCCAGGAAAGGAGCAGCGCTTTCAGTCCTATCAAGTCTGTGAAACGTGCCCCAAAACAACGAAAGGGACCCTGAGGATAAGGTTTTTTCGTGCCATACCTGCAATTCCTAAGTATAGACGAATAAGCTAGATGCAATTGTTAAATTGCATGTCAATTGTCTGCAAAATCCAGGCAAGGTCATTTTTGAGCGACTTATTTGAAGTTTGTGCGGAATTAATAAACAACAAAACTGAGGCGTCAGTCGTTTGGGGAATATGTACTCCCAAGGACTTACAAGGTTACTCTGTGGCAACGATGTACCATTATAGGTCACACTACAAACACGACTCAGGCAGTAAACTACCGAAAAACTTTCTTTAAATACAAAATGGGTCGAATGCTGCCTCCAGCAAAAGATAGCGTTAACAATATTTAAAAGATGTTTCCAGACTCCGCGGCCTCCACATTAGAGGGGCATCGGGCATTTTTAGGACTATGACTCCGTGTCATTGATCGATAATGACATGCTAATGCTTGCATTTGCTGTCTGTATCGCATCGTTTACTTGCTGGCTGGTACTCTATAATGGCCCCACTACAACTTACGATATTCAACAAAATATCCTTCGCCCAGGTCAACCGAGGCGGAAGAAATCCCAGGGAAACTTGTATGCGAAAAAACTTCTGTCCAAATTGGAAAAACCCTGCCTAACATCGAACAGTTGAGTGGCTGACCGAATAAATTTGACCGGGTTCTGAATTCTTCACAATTATCTCTTAATATGTTCGTAAGGGAGTAAATAGTGAAAATATTGTGTTTATAATATTTTCATTCAGAAGTACCTTGCTGCAGCCCGTGATTATACTAATTATTAGGAGGGCTTGGCAGATTCGAATAGTTCAGTTGACTCAGTTGTGAAAAATTCGTGGCTTCGATGAGTTTCGAATCCACATCAGTAGAGAAGGCTTTAGTACAGCCAACGCTCTACCAATTGAGCTGCGAAGGCACGCCAAAAGCCTTGAATTTAATAATACTTGGATCGATTTACCCGTCCAGACTACCGCACGTACGGAATCTACCATTACAATTGGGTTAACTGAATTACTCAAATCTGCCAAACCCTTCAAATAATTAAATGAGCCTAGTAGTCATTCTGGTGGATTCTAGATGATTGTATAGGAAATCATGTCTGGGCGATTAGCTTACTGTATCCGTAAGGGTGGATTCCATATGTGCAGTTGGCTGGGCGGGTAAATCGACCCAAGTGTGATCAAAAATGCAAGGCTTTGAGCGTGACTTCCTAGCTCAATTGGTAGAGTGTTGGCTATACTAGAGTCTTCCTTGCTGATATGGGTTTGAATCCCACCGAGGCCATGAAGTTTTCACAATTGGGTCATCTAAATTATACTAATTGGCATGTAGTGTCTCCGTGTGGAGCACAGGAAAGAGGGAAAGCCGTAATTGGACACCAGACGGAATGTAATCCTGTCTCATTCCCTACGCAGAACTTGCCCTGCGTGTCTCGCCGTTGAATGTGTGACTTTTCTTCTTTCCTACTGTCTGTGTGGAGATAAAAACTGCGGTTTACAAGAACTTTGCTCTGCCAATGTACCGCGATGTTTATAATTACAAATCCAGATCCAATGAAACAAACCTGCCAAATTGCACTCTTGAGGGCTACCCTGGTGCGCGTAAGGAAGCCCGTAAGCCCTCTAGGTCTCTTGAGGAGTGGCCCATCATTACCACCATAGTCATCAACGTCGCCAAGATCAGCCATGTACTTTCTTCGTTCAGCCTGCAACTTCCACTTTTTCTGGTGGAATGCCAGCCAAGCCTGGATC